CAGAGGGGAGATCTTTTGTACTGGTGAGATCACCACCAGCCATCCCATCCAAGTCTTGTATGGAAATTTTTAAAAAGGTTTTCAAAACCTAAAAAAAAAGGAAAAGTGATACAAGAATTGTTTGATTCTGTAAAACCTGCCTTGTAGAATGAGCTTGAAGAAATGCAGTCTGTCATTCAAGAAAAAACTAAACAGTGACATTAAGGTCCTTTCCAACCCTAACCATTCTATGATTCTGTGATTGCTGTTAGGAGTGCCTGCCTGAAGAGAGCAAGACAGGCTTTTAATCTGCCAGGCAAAAGTATGGGTCTAGGTGCTGGAAGATAAAGTAACAAAGGTCAAACTAGAAGTAAGATGCTCATTTTAAAGACATAGGTGGGTGGTGAAACAAGTTATCAAAAGACACTGTTCAGATTCTGTAAGGTGGGATAGCGATTTTTAAACCAATCCTGTTAAACCATCAAATTTGGGCTCTATACCGGAATAATTGGACATGCTGCTGTTGCCTGGATTTTATGAGAAGTTTTATTTCATGATCAATATGGCTTTTACAGTTTAATTCTGAATAGATTAATTGGTGCTAATGGCTGGAATCCTGATGTTACAGTAGTATGCAAAGAGTATTAAAAATAGTCAATTTGCAGGTTTTTTTTTTAACATCTTCATCTAATGCTGTAATAATTACTATGGAATTCACATATTGTTAAGGACCAGTTGGGAAACTAAAGAAGTGTGAAAATAGCTCTCTTTTCATATATGTGGAAATGTAATAAATTAATATTAAAACTAGTTACAGTGCAATTCTAAGAAACCGCTGTAGATTACATTTATATTGCATTTATTTGTTGTGTTTCATTTATAATGACTGCAATTATAAATGTAAATATGTCCAAAATCAGTTGTCAAAAAAAAATAAAACAAAAACCACCAAACAACTAGAGAGCTCAAAGGAAGTGGCAAGCAGCCATTTCCCATTGAAGGCTGTGTTTTCCTGGCCAAGTTAGGGGAACAGAAGTGTTGGTTCTCTAAGAGGTACCCTCCCGCCCCATCCCATCCAGCCCTTCCAGCCCTTTCCCCTGTGCCAGTGCCGGTGTTCATGTGGCTGCACGGACCTGCACCGGGCGAAGGAAAGTTGTTTTCAGCTTTGGTTGATTTCCTGCTTTGGTTCACTGTCCACTTGCACAACTGAACGCACTGGCAAGCCAGGGTCAGCAGGGAAAGAAACCAACTGATGGAAGGCTGTCGACACAAAAAGTGATCATGGGGCTACGGTCTGAAAAGTTAGTTGCCCTAGTTATTTTTCCTTTTATGTTTGATAGGATTCCTCAAATTCTTCAACTGGGCTAAGGCAATGTAAATCAATACCGGTGAAATAAAATTCCATTTTAGCAAACTGTAGTCATCAGAAGGATCCAAGAACAGGGTTTGCATCCTGAAAGAGATGTTCTTGGTTTTACTTCCCATTGTACGTAGCACTTGTTCTTCTCAGAATCCAAAATGAGGATTGAAATGAGCATTTGCCAGTCCTTTGTGATACAGAGATCATTAGCATCAGGACAGGTGGCTGTTGCTAGGGTCTCATGCTCTACTTGAGTGAGCAAATGCACAACAATTGTATATACATCAAAAGCCATCTTTTTATATCTTGGTCTCTTGGCTCCTTTGACTTTCTTTCTATGCAGAATGGGAGATGCTTCCAATTTATCACTCCCTCCCCAGCCTCCTTCCCACAGGAAGGAGCTGATGAGAGATGATTTCTGTGAAAATGTTACTGTAAATGCTTGGGTTAAGCTAGCATGAGTTGGGTAGATGTAGTTATGCCAGCACACATTCACTGTCAGTGGAGAAGCTTTTGGTAGGAGCGTGTTGGCTGAAAATAAGCTCTACTGACAAAGGTGCAATTTTGCAGGCGCCGGGGCATCTGCATGAGGAGTATCCTATTGATACACCCATGT